GGTTAGAGATGGGAGATTATATCTCTTTGCAAATATCAAAGTTTATCTCCATCATACTATTTCGCCCAGCTATGTGAGGTAAGAACATAGAGGTAAGACACATCAGAAGAGGTAGTTTCAGAGAAACTCAGGAAACAGTAGCTGAACCATTGGAAAGACAATTTGTTTAAATGTGTGAGTGAGTCTAAACCAGATGTAAATGAAGGTGCTTGACCAAAGCTGAAGCACGTAGAAGATAACCTTGCGAAAGAAAAAGGTGCTGTAAGTTGCTGGCAGTTGTTTGAGGTGATGCAAACACTAAGAGACTGTCAGGGAAGTCCTCTCCATTCTCACTGAAGGAGTGGGGAGGGTGTGAGTTTGTTGTTGTTCAGCGTAAGGGAAGGTGTGGATGTCCTGTTACTGCTGGAACGGAGTTCATTTTCTTCTTAGTAGCTGGTACAGTTCTGTGTTTGGGATTCAATATGAGGACAGTGTTGATAACACAGGGATGTATTGGCTGTTGCTGTGTAGTGCTGACCCTGTAACGAGCTGCACAAGAAGCTGGGAGGAAGCACAGCCAGGACAAGTGACCTGACCTGGCCAAAGAGATGTTTCATACCATAGACCATCATGTAGTAACTGAGGGGGAGTTGACCAGGAGAAGTCAGTCACTGCTGGGGGCTGGACTGGACCTTGGTCAGCAGGTGGTGAGCGATTGTATTGTGCATCGCTTGTTTCTCTTGGGCTCTGTTACTCTCTCTCTCCCTCCTTATCATTATAGTTATTAGAATGATTTGTATTGTTAGCATACTTGTCATTATTATTATATTTTGTTTCAATTATTAAATTGTTTTTATCTCAAACCATGAGGTTTACTTTTTCTTTCCAATTCTCCTCCCCACTGGGGTAGGGGTGGAGAGGAGTGAGCAAGCAGGTGTCTGTGTGGTACTCAGTTGCCAGCTGGAGTTAAATCATGGCAGAGGGCCTCTAACCCTTTTCTTCCCTGTTAAATCAAACTAGTTAACAGCATAAGTTTTGGTTTTGGGTTTTTTTTTTAAGAAGCTATTTTCAAGCATTTTAGTCAGCCTGGTTACAGGCCCCCAAGGAAAGGTTTACAAGTGCCAAGCACAAATGGACCCATATTTGTGCCATGATTGGGACCAGAGATATCCTGTTCAGGGACTAGTCTGAAATCACACAGAAAGTGAAGCAGCTCATCCTATACCTGACAATTTACTGAGAGGCTGATGAGGGATTTGGGGCACAAACCAGATTGCAGCTATGATGATGTAATAGCAAGATAGAGAGACCTAGTATAAAAATGTGATCACAGAGGCAGCAGCAGAGATCACAGATACAAGTCATCCTTGAATCTAACAAACAGGACAGTTCAAACAATGCAAAACATATTTTTCAGTGCTTTACTGTTAACAACTTCAATTATGATGATGGTAAAACAGGCAAGGAAAGAGCCAGAAGGCATTAGCTCTGATTATCATTTGGTACAGTTAGTTGAGTGTGGAGGAATTAATTTAAACCAAGTCAGTGCCTGGCCTGTGCAGCTTCAATTCATGATTTCCCATTGGAAGTCTCAGGACTCAAGTTGCCCTTTTCTTTCCATTTTTTTTCTTTCTTTTCTCTCTTCTTATGTGCTTCCATCCTGGGTCTAAAAAGCTGCTGTCATAAGAATTACTGAAGCTAAAAAGGTAGTGCTTTGTACCATCTGAAAGCTTTGCAGCCTTGAGTCATACAGAGGATAAAAAGCAATCCGTCTTAAAGATCAGTGGTTTTTAAACCACTGAAACCTATGTATGACCTCAGGATTGGGAGGAGAGTGATGTTTATCATGGTGATGGGATTTAAAATCTTATTTCTCCTAGCCTTGTATAATGTATACAGTATTTCACAATCCAGTACGAGCATGAGTGGGAAGACTTGTGAATTACCAGAAGAGCTGAGATGTTAAGCAGACTGCTGTTTTGGGCAATGTTATTTATTTATCTGGGTAAACATTTCCTTTTCCACTGGGGAAAAAATGTTGGAAAGGATATAGAGAGTATGCATTTGTGAGACTTGGCAGTGTTCTCCAGTGGCTTCGCTGCCCACGATTAAACACAGCAATTACATCTAATCTTTGTTATATTACCAGCTAAGCACAGGCTTCCTTTTTATTTCTTTGGATTTACTTATGCAAACTTCACATTGTCCCCGTGGCTGGTCATGTGGAATCTCTGTTCTCAGTGCTTCTCACACCATTCATTCCTTGAGCTGCTCCAGGTATTCGAGCAACACAGCATCCTCATATCCTGAATAAATCTGTCCCTGCCCTGCTGTCAGAACAAGAATCTCTGTTGTATCCCTTCTACCCACTCATCAGAGTGATACCAGTCAATTTCTTCCTATGCATTCTTTCTTCTGCTCAGGAAACCCCTTCCTGAGGTGTGCAGCAAAGCCACAGTGCTGTGCACCTTTAAAACTTCCCTGAAGATCAGCTTCTGTGATTCTTGCAAGAACTTAGCTAAGTAATCTGCTTATCTGTTTCATTTATGTCATGAGTGACTCCTTCCTTCTTTTGTGCCTGCAGGAAACTTGTTGAGTAAATCTACTTCCTTTTACTCTGTTTTGATCAAATGCTGGGTTGCCCTTTGTGGAGGCTGGGTGAATTCTAGGATAACTGTATGACAGTCACCTCTTGGATGCCACACTGTTCTTGCTGCCTGTTTGTTGCTTGTATCCTTTGTTGTTTGTCATTAGAAACACCACCTCGTCCTGCAGATAAAGAAGCTTTGCTCTTTCCTCATTTGGCTCTTCATGACTTTAGCATAGCACCAAGTGTGTGTAGGATTCCACCTCCCTGGAGATGATTATATGCTCATTGTATTAGTTTGGGACCTACTCCAGGCACAATCAGTGTTTTTTGTCTCTAGCAGGTGTGTCTACAACAATTCGCAGGAGTGTCTAAAACACTATTAAAAGGAGTTAATAGCATTTGGTGTGACTGCTGACTGTTTTCATTCTATTTCTACTCCATGCATTTTTCATGTTGTCCAGTTTCTGTGTTTGTAACTCCAAATATGTTCTGCAAGATGTGTGTGAAGGTTCTTCCTCTCTAGCAAGCATAAATAGTGTTATCCACAGTTTAAACTGATAATTTTAAAGTATTTTAACTGAATTAGAACTTAATAGATAAGGGTAACAACTGAAGATGTTTTTTTCATAAGAGGAAGTAACAGACTTAATCATGACACTACACAGTGCAATTACAAAAGTTTAATAATATATGCAGGCATAATTTTTATTCCTGTGATACCTATCAGGCAGCATTTATTTGTGGCTTGTGGTGCTTGTCATGTCTTTCTAATGCACAAGACCCAGTGGGTTTCCCCTGTGTGCAAATGGTGATGTGTATATATAGTGTCCTCCTCAGCAGTCACACCTCCGTCTGTGTGATGTTAAGCACATGCTGTACATCAGCAGGATCTGTGGGCTAGAGTGTAAGATGTGCCTGTTGCTCCCTTGTTACCAGCCTTTCCCAAGGAAATGGTATGGCCTTGGCTATGTCAACATCCTAATTTGATACCAGTTTGGGGGCATTATCATCTAGCAAGCTAATGGTTACATAGATAATTAATATTCCTAGACCCAATGGCAGCATTTCTCTAATTAGAAAAAACTCCAGTTTGTTCAGTAAGAACAAACTTCAGACTTTGAATCTCCGTATTCCTTACAAGTCTTGCCTTGGAGCTGGAGGCTAGAGCTGCAGTAATGCAGCCAATTCTCTCATTACTTGTCCTGCTGCTTGGGGAAGGGTTACCTGGGGATGAGTCCTGAACAGTTTGGTAAGCATTAGTAATTTGCTAGATGGAAAACAAGATAACTGTGTTTGAATACTCAGAGTTACTGCTGACTAGCTCCCTGGTTGCAGTCCCTGAGTAGACAGAGGGTAAAGGCAAGAGTAAGAGCTCCCAGGAGAGTACAGATTTCTTCGGTGAACTAGCTGAGACCCTTGAAGTAGAACGTACCATCAACGTGGACTTTTTCTTTTCCTCTTCCAGTTCAGCATATGATACCAAAACAAGACAGAAGGTGGCAGTGAAAAAGCTTTCAAGACCTTTTCAATCTCTTATCCATGCACGGAGGACCTACCGAGAGCTTCGGTTGCTTAAGCACATGAAGCATGAGAATGTAAGTGAAGACTAAGTTCTTTCCCTTTGAATTTTCATTACAGAAGTTTGCAATATAGTCTTAATTTCAGTTAGGTACAACCTTTTTCGAGAAGTATATGCAACTGTCTAGCTACCCAAGATACCTGGACCACCTTACATGTGGTGAAGTCACTGGACTTTGATGACTGGACAGTTACTGAAGTAAAAGGCAGCATTTATATTTTAAAAATATCTCATTAAATCTTGAAGATGAGGTTGATGAAATCCAAAACAAGTGGTTCTACTCTTCTCTAACTAAAGTAGTAAAAGTAGTCTTTTCTCTACTGTTGAAACATTTTTAAACATCAGTCCAGGAAAAACCAAACACCTCAAACCTGCTTTTGCTGAATTTGAATTCTGTTGAGAAATTAAGGGCAGATACTGTCATTGAAATTGACAACAGTGTAATAGCTAAATGAAAGATAGTAGTCCATCAGGCCCCACATAACTGAGTACTGTTCTAAGTTTGTAGTAAACAGTTGATTTCAGTGGAGTATCCACCTGCATAAAGGTAACTTGATGACTTGAAGCTTGAATAAAATATAGTGGATTGAAAAGCACCCTGGGGAGAGGATGCCAACCAAGTTAGCAAAACCGGAACAACAAACCCCATGCAATTGTGCATAATCTGAAGTATAACAATTGTATAAGCCATGTGTTAGCTTTTCTGTATTGAAACATTACTTTTCCTGCCTTTATTTTTGATTGTCGAAAATCTTCTTGTAATTACTCTTTGTAATTAATATAATTTTCTGTTGGTCATGGAGATAGCTGAGGTGATACCTGTATAGATCACCTATTGTGCCAATTTTCAGGATGAATGTGTGTCATATTTTTGTAAGTTTCACCACAAAAATGCCAAGCACTGTCAGTGCTAATTACATGTTGCTTTACAGATTTCTAAAAATAAAATGTCAATCCCTTCACCTTTCAGGTTATAGGATTGCTAGATGTTTTTACACCTGCAACATCAATAGAAAATTTTAATGAAGTGTAAGTAAAATTTTAAAACCATTCTAACTTGTTACTAAGTACATACCACTCTGGTTTTAAAAAGGAAGTACATACATTTCTAATAGACTTGCAGCCACAGTTGGCTTTCTAAAAATCTTTTTGCAACTTTTCCACAAAAGAGGAGACAGGAAGATGAGCTCATTTTTGTGCTGTTTAAAATTATAATTATAGGTATATGGTAAATGGTTTACTGCATAAATGCCAATAAACTTATAACATTTTCAGTTTAATTCTGTGTTAGCTGTAGATTATTTTTTTCACAGATGGGTTAGTTCAGGAATGCAGGAAAGCGTTCTGTTGGTCATCTGAGACAAGGCAAATTTAGGCTAGAATCCTGATTAACCTAGGACTAGGCATATTTTGGTGCTATTCAAACATACAATGATGCTGAGTTACTCTTGGTTTACGTAATGTATAAGCACTTAGGTAAACACTTTAGCAAAAGAAATAGTAATTAATATGTTTTTGTCTCCATGGAAATTAGTGGCCAAACCTGTTTGACTTTGGGGCTATATTACACAAATGGGAACTGGGTATGATAGATGAATATTTTGTTCCAGCACTGTTTTTGAAAAAGAATCAAGGTTTCTTCAAAATTTTTCAAAAAATGAGACTTCCAGTGGGAACAAGAAGGGAAGTTAAACAAAACACTCATTTCAACCAGTTTAATGTTAATCTCCATCAGTGGGTATTCCAGGGCCTTGCAGGTCCTGCAGTTGTGGTGCCTTGGGCTCCCACTCTGATGTTGGGTGAGGTTTTCTTTTCATCAAAAAATACATGGCATTCTCCCCTCACTGCTGTAGTGTGTCATGGAGAAAACAGAGATAAAACCTTTTAATATACACTAAGGATTTTTCTTTTGCACTATATTAAATCTCATAGCAGTGATTGCATTATTAAAGCTCATGGCTGATTTAAAGAATATAAACTGTGTGCTAGTAGACAGTGGAAAAGGAACCTACATGGGCATGTGTAGTTACCCTTCAGATGAACAGCTTCTAGAAGGATTTACATTCTGCCATTCTTAAATTAGGTACTTTTCTTTGTTTTCTTATCCTTGTTTTATTTTCACAGATATCTTGTGACAAATTTAATGGGTGCTGACCTGAATAACATTGTAAAGTGCCAGAAGTTAACGGATGATCATATACAGTTTCTCATCTATCAGTTACTTCGAGGTCTTAAGGTATTGGCTGAATGCAGGAATTTTTAGAGTCAGCAATATAAATGTTGTAGTAATGACTGGTTCATTGCAATGACAGTTCTCAAACACTTTTTTATGTCTCAGTGCACAGATAGCAGCAGTCATTTCAGAAATTATCAGGTATTTTTCTAACCAGAAATAAACCCCCAAGCCTGCCAATGTTTACATGAGTAGTACATGTGAATACTCCCCTTGAATGTTAAGTTTAGATCAAAACTAGTTAGTATTTAAGTTACTATTGCTATATAGTTTCTCAAGTGAAATATTCTGTAGCACACAGTGTGTGTTTTATTCATTTCATCTGTAACGAGCAGGTTGTGAAAAATTCTGAAGAATGTGAAAGGGGTAAAGAACAATATGGCAAGTAACTCACATTTGTGCTTTGAAAGACATGAGCCAGTTTGAAAAAATACAGTCCTGATCTTTGTAGACAGTGTCACATGGGTGAAGAGATAACCGGGTTAGTTGGGTCCTTTGGGAAATGTCTGGAAGTAGAAATTTATCCTAGCAACATATGATGTTGCACACAATCACTTAGGATTTACTCTGCCCATAAAATCATTGTTTCCTATAATTGTATCAGTTAAAATTTATACAGTTAGATAACACAGGCTATTGGCAGTGAAACCACAGTACAGTTTTCTTCCAAAAGAATCAAAATATGCATCATTTTGCTGTCATTAAACATATAAGTGTCTATAAACAGGAGATGATGCTTCCCATTATCAGGTGCTAAGCGTTTTCTTAGACCAGTATGGATTTTCCCAGGTATAAGCAAACAGAAAAGAGAGGGGTCAGCTGCTTTATTTGCTAACTTAACAGTAATTGATATTTTAGACACAGCAAATAACTGTATATTTGAAAGTAAGCCATGGTAAATACTGGCTCTGAAATATGCTTATTACGTGATTTTCAGCAAGTAACCTTGTGCCTGAGACAGTAATTCTTATTCATGCATGCAGGTTCTGTCAATTTAAGTGAAGATTTTAATGAATAAAAATGGCAAAACTGAGCTCTTAATTGCTTTGTCTCATTTATGTGAGTTAATAGCTTAATTAGGAAGATGGATTCTGGCGTTAATTATCCAGTTTGCGGTTTTGAATATAAGTCTGTGTTGTCTCAGAACTAAATAATAGTAAGAATTGTGCTCCAAGTGAATATTAATTTCAGAAATGCACTCAGGTGCATTTCTGGCTCTGTTTTGAAGGGGAGGGGTTGATGGTATCTTATCTCTTCTGGCATTGAAATTCTCATGTCACATTAGTTGAAGAACTTCTGATCATGTTTATCTCCTTGCTTACATCTATGCTGAAGTCATTACAACATGTATTCACATACCTGAGTATGCTTTGGGCTCACTGGTAGGTGTGTTCAGCAGTGTGGAGTGCAGGCTTGGCACCCTGCAGAAGCTGAAAGAGCAGATGAAGCACTACTGTGGAGCTGCACACTTTGGCAGGCTCCTGAGCTGGATAGTAGAGGACTGCTTGGTGGCACCAAGAGGAACTGTTGTGGTTGTCTCAACAGAGCAGGGACACAGCTCCTTCTGTTGCAAGTGGTGGTTTGGTTTCATCTTCATTCAGCTGCTCATAGCTGCTATGAGGAGCACTGAGGGCTGGTCCTGCCTTCTGATAAACAGTGCTTAGGTCTGGAACAAGAAGAGCCCTTGGGTTTTCCTGGTTTCTATACAGGTTTTGCATATAATCCCTGCTCCTGAAAAAGAAGGTGAATTCACCTCTAGAGAATAGAAGAGAAGATTTTTGAGGTCTTGCTGATGCTGGTCAGTAAGATAGTAGATAAATTGGCTGTTAATCCTAACAAGTGAATGATAGGCAATGATAGAGTAAGCTTTTTGCAATCTTTGGTTTTAAATCTTTTATGTAAAGTAAGAGAGATGCTAAATAGGCACTGAAATGCTGCTTTGGGTCCCTACTTTGAAAGTGGAGCTGAAGTAATGCTGTGGCTTAGGTGGGTATTTTGGTCACTAACCTGTCCCAGAGTGCAGGTATGGCTGCTCTCACCCACCTACATCAGAGTTCACTGTTTGGGAAGGTGAGATACATCACGTAGATGTCAACCTTACTGCTCCTTAGGCCATTGAGCTGATCATCATGGACATCCAGGTAAGACTGGAAAAAGTTCCACATTGGTAAGAAACTTCCAGCAGAAGAATAACTACGAGTGCTGTCTTCATGGTTACCTTTCTTGAAATATCCAGTTCTGATAAAACAAAATAGGGAGGTTTTGAAGTTTGACATACCTCTGATCTGAAAACCTGGTGTGACGTAAGTATCTCCGGTGCATAAAACAGTCAGTCTCAGAAGCAAGAAAATAAGACAAGTGACTTTTACCTCTCTTCACCTCTAACTTCAGATCTTATCTTTTTTTTTTTCTTTTTTTGTTTCACAGTACATTCACTCAGCTGGAATCATCCACCGGGTGAGTTCACTCATTTGTGGTAATAAAAATGAATGGAGTGTGTCCCTCTGTGCATCAAATGTGTTACTAAGACACAGTTACAATATACTTTATAAGGTTAAAATAGTACTTGACTAATTCTTTGTATTCTGCTACAGGACCTAAAACCCAGTAACCTAGCTGTAAATGAAGACTGTGAGCTGAGGGTAGGTATTCTGCTGTTGTAATGATGAATGTTGTAAAAGCTCTCAAGGTGACAGTTTTCTGAGAAAACATTAGCTACCATTTTATTTCTGATTCCATTAATTTCAACTGTTTGCTACCATTCCTCCCCTGGCATAGAAAACCCATTTCCATGAACATGTGTTTTCTCCCAAATGTTAATTTAGTATGCATGCAAGTGTCTTTGCAAATGTTCATCCCTGTGTACCCCACAGATGGTACATAGCTAATAATTTGGCCCATGAGTGTGTATTTAACTGAGTATATTTTGGAAGTCTGACCCGTGATTTGTTTGCATCTGCCATGTTAGATGAAGCCTGCAACAACTTTCATTCTTATATCTATAGAACATACAAACTAAATTAAATAATGACAGGAAAAAATAGACCAGTATTACCAGTTACAGGCAGTAAAAAAACCAAACAAGCAAAAAAAGCCCAACCCACCAGAAAGAACCCTGTAATCCACACTTTTCAAATGCTATTTTACTGTACATATCTATATAAATACATCTCAGTTTGTATCTGTGTGATAGAATATTACCATATAAGCATGAGAGACTAGAGAAGGAAAAGATGTCTTGTAGCTTTCTAAGCCTTTAAGCCTAAGAATAAGAAGTTTAGCATTTCTCCATGACAGCCAGAAACATCTTTCTCCCTGTTTCTAAGACTCTGATGTAATCACTTCATTCCAGCTGCAAGGGATTTAAGAAAAGACTCCAAATACTACAAGATCAGCAAAAAATCACGATAGTGAGTAAGGACAGTGCAGTTAGGTTCTTCCTCTAATCCGGATCTGTGGTGAGAAAGTAGTTCCTGTTTGGCTTAGTGACACTTAGAGATGCTCAGCAAGTTTCATGATTATTTGGTTAATGTCTTCATGCATGTATGTTCAGCATCTGTGAATTTTTATGGGTCATCTGTGTTGCACTCTAAAATGTGTGCTGTATTTTTGTACTGTAAATAAAGGGGACTTTTGGTGGGTTTTTTTCAATTATGATATCTCTGCACCTCCCAGCCTAGCATTTGTTACATCACACTCTGCTTTGTTTATATTTAAAGCTTTACTTCCTCAAATTATTTTTAATAGTACAAACTAGTGGATATTTCCAAGTACAAACAAAGAGGAAATAGAAGCAAAAAGAAGGAAAACATGTGTGCGCATATTTGATAGAAGGGATCATCTGTTAAGGAAAAATATTGGCAAAACCCTTATAAAAATAAGGCCATTCATGTTTGAGTTTCACGCCATTGTTCATGCCTTGTTTTTCTTTGCTTATTTAAGAAATAAATAATGCTTTTAAAGTATGTTAGAAGTAAAGATGTTAATGTGTTATTTATATCTTAACATTTTTCTTTAGGCTTTTTGTATCTTTTAATTGGATTATAACAGGAATTTTGAGTGATGCTCTTAAAATTTCTTACTCCCAATGAAAAGGATTAGCTATCCGCTTAATAAATAATCCTGGGTCTCATCACAGGAGGTTTCCAGTGATCTTATTCACATATCTATGTGCAGAGATAGTAACGGGCTCAGATGACTAATTGAACGGTGCTGGGGCTTAGATGGTAGCCTTGCACAGCGGTTTCTCTTAGAGCTAGGGTCCATAATTAGTAGGACATAGACTTATCAGAGAATAGAATAGAAAGCAAAGAAATGAGCAAGAAAAATAATTCAATGGAAATAACATCCCATCAATGTAAATTTAGCAAGGGAGAGCTTATGGAGAGGAACATTGTGCTGTCAAGCCTTTTTGTTGTTTTGGTGGGTGAGTTCTACTGAGAACAGATGGTGTCTGATTTAAATCTACCTTGTTGCACAGGGTATGTGTTTCTCTCCTATTGGCATTGGGATGATATGTAATTTGGGGAAATATTTAGATAGACGTAAGAGGGAAACAACAAAAATTCTGCACATTTGTGATCAGCTCGTGTGGTCTTTAAATGGCCAATGGCACTTACCTTTGGCATTTTAAACAAACATTCCCTGTTGATGATAGTGTTTCATTCTTTATAGGAACAGTGCTTATTTTTAGCAAATGAATGTCAGCGGAAAAATGAACTTGAGGCAAAATGTAAAGTTTGCCTTAGAGAACAAAGGGCCAGGGACATTGCAGTGGAAGCATCTTTATGCAGACCTGTATGCTGTAGGAATACAGCGAGGAGTGCAGATGAGCTTGTCTGCAGAGTGCTGCTATTTTACTTCAGCAATGGTGAGGGACTATGGAAAACAGAGAAGTGAGTCATGGGGAAAATCAGGACCTGTAACAAAAGTGAAAAGGGACTTTTTTAAATTATTATTTTATTTTTATTCTGTAGATTTTAGACTTTGGTTTAGCTCGACAAACTGATGATGAAATGACTGGATATGTTGCAACAAGATGGTACAGAGCTCCAGAAATTATGTTAAACTGGATGCACTACAATCAAACAGGTAAACTGTGAAGGCTTGCATTTTGCTACAGCTGGATGTAGTGATAGTTTTAAACCAAGAGGCAACTGTGTTTAAGAATCCCTTTGATTCATTGTACACATTTCTCTCTCGTTTTTGGCAGTTGACATATGGTCGGTTGGATGCATCATGGCAGAGCTACTGAAAGGGAAGGCTCTATTTCCAGGAAATGATTGTATCCTTAATATCACAGTATCATAGAATCATCAGGGCTGGAGAAGACCTCTAAGATCATCAAGTACGACCATTAACCTGCCACTCTGCTGTAACCCCTAAACCATGTCATCCAGTGCCAGATCCAGACGCCTCTTAAACACTTCCAGGGATGGTGACTCCACCACCTCCCTGGGCAATCTATTCCAGTGCCTGACCACCCTAACAGAGAAAAAAATTTTCCTAGTGTCTAATCTGAATCTCTCCTGTCTCAGCCCAAGACCATTGCCATCACATGGCACATGCAGGGCAACCAGGGGATCAAGTCCAACCATGATCTCTTCCATGACCTTGGCCCAGAACTGAGGTTAGGCTTACAGACCTGTAGTTCCCCAAATCTTCCTTCCGACCCTTCTTATAGATGAGTATTACATTTGCTAATTTCCAGTCAGCTGGAACTTCTCCAGTTATCCAGGACTTCTGGTAGATGATTGTGAGTGGTTTAGCAAGTTCTCTTTTGACAGTTCCCTCATTACCCTGGGGTGGAGCTCATCAGGGCCCATAGACTGTCCAATTGGCGTAGCAGGTCATTAACCATCCCCTCTTGGATTATGAGAGCTTCACTCATCTCCCCATCACCAACTTCCACCTCTAGGGGCTGGGTATTGTGAGGGCAGCTGGTCTTGGCGTTAAAGACAGAGGCAAAGAAGGCATTGAGTGCCACTGCCTTATCCTCGTCCCCTGTCACTACACTAGCTTTGCTACCTTCTGCATTTATCAACTGATGGACACCACCCTTGACCCTCTTTTTGCTCCCAATGTATTTCTAAAAATGGTTTTTGTTATCCTTGACTTTAACAGCAAATCAAGTTCCAGCTGAGCTTCGGCCCTGCTAATCTTCTCCCTGCATGACCTCTTGGCATCCCTATATTCTTCCCAACTTGCCTGACCCTCCTTTCAGAGACAATAGATTTATTATTTTTTTTCCCCAGGCTCTAGTCTAAGTTCTCTGTTTAACCAGGCTGGTCTTTTTCCTTGGTGACTTGACTTCCTACACACAGGGACAGTCTGCTCCTGAATGTTTAACAATTCTTTTTTAAAACATTCCCAACCTTCCTGAACAACTTTAGCCTTCAGGCCTGACTCCCAAGGGCTTCCATAAATCAATGTCCTAAACAAGTCAAAATATGCTGCCAGAAGTGCAAGGTGGAAATTCCACTACTGGCCCTCCTTACCCACTACTGAAGACTTTATCATTACTTTATCATTTATCATATGAAACTAAAAAGGCAGGTATAAAAATATTCTCTAATTCTTCCTTTTTTTTAATTCTAAGGACTTGAATGTTTCTTTGGAAATGTTTTTGAGGTAACAGACTTCTAAAAGAGTGAACAATTTGCTAATCTTTCAGTTCAGTGTATGTAACAGCTGAATATGAGACCCACTGGGGTAGGATAAAAACCAGTAACAGATGTTCATAAACAACAATAAGTTACAATTATTCTTTGTTGTGTATCTAAATAATAACCTAGTTACAACAGATTTCTTCCATGTGTGTATCTTACTGAAATAACATATGCTAAAACTGGAGCTGTGTAAAGGCACTATATTTTTCATCAGCTAATACAGTTTTAAAAAATAGAACTTCTATTAGGCTGGGATTCCCTAAAATGCAAATGAGTTAACTTTTTAATAGTAAGTGAATTAATAACCCAATTGTGTCCTGTTTAAAAAAAACCCAGCAGTTCCAGAAATGCCACAGGGGCAACAAAGCCCTCTTTTCTGCAGCACTGTGCTGTCGTCCCTGATGGAGCATCAGGGATTTCCATTGGCGTTTCCTGTGCTGGCAGGAGAAGAAAAGAGACATTTCTGAGGAGAGCAGTAAAAACATTTAAAAAACCCTGAAGAAAGACACATAATTAGAAAAAATGAGGAAACAACTGCATCAGAGGAGGAAAGCTTTTAATATGAGAAACAAAGGCATATTCTTCTATACTGAATGTTAACATTTCTCGCTACTCTGAAACCTCTTAAAAACCCAAATGCTTTTGCTAAAACTAAGCTGTTGCCAGGTGCAAAACATCATGACATTGGAATTGCCTGAAAAACTGTTAAAAGAACAGAGAGACCAAGTCTCCCTGCTGACCTTTCTATTGTGCTCAGCATCATTAGACTCTGTTGTAACCACAGGCATTCTCCAGGCATTCATCATCTGGACCATGACTGTCCATCAGACTGTTTGATTGCATTATATGTGGTATTTGGAAAAATCAATACATCTAGTTTTAAAAAAATAAGATTTTTTTTGCTGTTATAAAATATTTTCTACAATTATATGATTATATCCATTTAAATAAAGCTGTAAAATAACCTTGAGTCTCTATAGAAAATGTAATGTACTTTACAAGTCATATAAGACAATGAAAAATCAACACTTTCAAAGTTTTTAATCTTAAGACCCATATAAAACAGATTTTTAAAGCTACCAAATGAGAACTTTCCACTTGCCAGCCTTCAGATTAGTGATCTAGCCCTATGTGCTGTATCATGTTAGACTGATCTTCAGAAATCCCTCAGTTCGCTGAAACATAAATGTGCTATGAAAATTAAGCTTAAGAATATATTAAATTGGGAACTAGGACAGAAGAGCAGTATTTTTCATGCAGTTGACATACCTGACACCCTCATATAGTACTGTAGAGAACTTGATACCCCAAGACCAGGCTTAAGCAAGTATGAATTGGAATCCTTCCATGAACTGTAGTGGAATTGTCTTACTGAATAGTTTTAAACATCTTAATTACGCACATGGAAGCTGATTAATTGTTTGAACCCAGAACGACCAGGCTTATTTCCCTGAAATACTGCAGATATTGATCAACTAAAGAGAATAATGGAAGTTGTGGGCACACCCAGTTCTGAACTTCTGAAGAAGATATCATCAGAGCATGTGAGTTCACCATTTTGTTCAGTTAACTGGCTTTCTGTCATTGTTTCTCTAATTGCCATTGGATGTCACTGGCTCTGTAACAGAGATAATCTGATCTGGAAATGAGCAAACGCCTTAAAATTATCTCTATTTTTTTCTGCTAGAATTCCACCATTCAAAAAAAATATGCTTTTTGGAGGTATCCAGATGCCTTGACTGTCAACTGGATTAATTTTGATACTTGTTCTCATGCACTCAGTTTTTTTAAGGAGTTAAGCAATTAGTCCTGATAGTCTTTTAATTTACTGCTACTCATACAGTTAAAAAATTTCAGATGCTCAGCTTAGAGCATTATATTGTTGCTATTAAAGCTGATGTCTCTAATTTTTATGCTTTCCATTGTTGTAAGGGTTCTAAACAGAGATAGCAGAATCAAATAATGTGTGTTCTGCCATGAGTGGTCTATTTAGATCACTAATTTGAAAATCATAAGTATTCATGTCTCTGAATCCTTGTGTGAGGTCCACTTACCTGATCATATCCATAGTTAAGAGTGTGCTTTTTAACTCCCCATGTGACTTCTTTAAAATAGTAATCTAGGAAATGAACAATTTCCACTTTGTTTCTCTGCTGAAGCGACACTAAAAAGAATTCACTGTAAGCAATTGCCATGGCTGTCCAGCTGGAGAATGAGGTGTGGTATTGATTGATAAAGGCAGGTGTGAGCACCATGTACAAGTTCAGATCAGCACACAGATCCCTCCTGAGCTGCAGCTGTTTTCCTGAACCTTTCCTGTATACACCTCAGACTAATGCTAATGGCTCTTTTTCAGCTAGTGTGTATATTGATGGGTTTTCTTTGCCCTTACTAATGTATACGCTAGTGGGTTAAGTAAGCAGGAGCAGTAGGAGAGCCAGAGCAACCCTGTATTTCTGGAAGGTCCAAGCATAGCTAAACCTCATTGGCACAGCCATGGGGTTTGTGGATGTCCAGCACCTGGGGTTAGCCAGGGCAGGAGGCTAAGCATCCATTCTTGTGCCAGGGACTGCATCAACCAGCAAATCTCAGACTGTGCTGTCCTAAGCATACATCCTTGTATAGTCTCATAGGTCCTTGTGTAGCTATTATGTCTCATTAAGATCCTACAGTTTTTGCAGTAACACATTCCGATTAGTATACACAAATGTGTGATTTACCCACAACTAGTAAGATTGTGAGCTTCATGATTATGAGATAAAACATTTTAAATATTTACCAGAAATAGTATCTGCTTTTGTCTTTAATTTCTTGTGTTTCAGAGAATACCTCAGTGAGCTACAGGAATACTGAAACTGTTTTACTGGGACTAATTATACTTTTAGAGCACAGGGAGAACACAAAAACCAGGTTAATGAACTGGAGTGCTGCTAGGTCACCTCTGGGCTCCTGCCTGGTTGGAGGAGCAATGTCAAAGGAGACCTTGCTTGGAGGTAATTGCCACTTGCAAGGGAGTTCCTTTGTTTTAGTTCTTTACCATGTAGTTTGGGCTTATTTTTTTTGATATTTCTTTATGCAGCTTGCAGCCATGGACAATTTTTAGCATTCCTCCAACAGCAAGGTCAGAGATTTCCTGAGATGCCAAGCCTATTTTCTGTTATAAATAGAGGTTTAAAGAATTAGAAACTAAACGATCAACCTCATGGGATGTTTCAGCACAAGTTAGTGAGATGGTTTGTCCTTTTTTCATGTTAATATGGGTTTAAATGGTGATTGCATTTCAGAATAATTCAAACTTCTGGATTGTATTGGTTGGGTTTCTGTGGTGAATATATAAGCAGAGGGGACAGGTTGGTATGTATACTTGGATAGGTCTGTGCTGTTTTCAGAGGATTTCTGGGCAAGGTTGGAGGTAATTTTCACTCTTATCTTGTTCAGTTGTGTTTGGATTAGTGATGGTGAAACAAATAATCCACAGATGTTTGTCATAAGATAAATTTACATTGTTTTTACCCTAGTCTGTAGCTCCATGCAAGAATGTGTGATAGCTTTCTTTTGCTCTGCTGTTCATGTATGTGTGTATAAATTAATATCCTGGAAGACTTAACTGTGATAGGTACTGCACACCCTGACCTTCTCAGAGGTGTTAGCTGACTTCATGAACCTTAGGAGCATAAAATAGGTGCAGTGCAGCCTGTGTTTGACTCGTCTTTAAACATCCTTCTCTGCCTGACTGGCTACAGCTGCTCAGAAGAATTAATCCTTTTAAGAAAGCCTTGTTGTCAGCCCCCATAATAAAAAGGGAAAATACTAGTATCATTTTAATGGGTCAGGGACGTAATGCATAAAGGCTTGCTTCTTCAGCAAGACTCTAAAATGTGTCATTAATGGCAGTCCAGAGTTTTGATAGAACATGCTTGCATCTTACAAGAAGCAGAAAAAATAAATGTATCTGCCTCGTTAAACTAGAAGAGAGTTTGAAAAGAGGCTGTGTTATGTAATGATTTAAAACATCTTTATATCAGTTCAGCGTAGCTGCAGAAATTGAAATGATGGCTGAGAGAGAGAATAGTGCAGGGAACAGGATCTGTTTCCCAAGTGTGGTTGTAGGATTGCAGAGATGATGTGTCAGAGTATTTTATAGTCACTTTGTGATAGTCCAGAAGATTAGCTCCACAGTTCTCAATCTGATATCTCACTTGAAGCCATGGAGCTGCTGAGCATGAACCACTTCATTTCCTTTGTGGTCTTCAGTAGGCCAAGGATGCTTAGTTAGCCTTCTGCAGATAGTGTCTTTCTAACAGGACTGCTAAGTGTGCAGAGAGACAACTGTGTAACACAAACATGTTTTAAAAGGATTAAGGTTTGTTCAAAGAGTTTTAATCAGGTGTTCTCTGGGGATCTAGTGCAATGAACAGGTAAGCATAGATGAAAACAAAAGTGCTAACACACAAGCCTTAGACCAAAATAGACCTGCTTAAAACTCTTGCTTATTGTGCAGTATACAGGAGTGACTGTTTAAAACAAAGTCATGTGTTATGGTTTTATGTAAAGGTTTTCCATGTATAAGAAAGAAAAAAATTATAATGGTTACTGCTGAGCAAAATTTAACCTCTGTGCATGTGGAATGTATATTGCTTTATTTCTAGGCAAGAAAATACATTGAATCTCTTCCACATATGCCTCAACAGGATTTGAAAGCAGTATTTCGTGGTGCCAATCCATTAGGTAAGAAAGTCAGACTGATACAGATTTTTCACTAACATAGGAACTCAAGCCTTCCTTTGCTATATGAGCCCATAAAATAACTATCAGACTAGTGAGAAGAGCATTGCTTAATCTTTCATCCTGAGACTGTTTTCCCTTTATGAAGCCTGTGTCTTCTGTTTCTGGTGGAGGTTATAGCAACCTCCTAAAGGAAAATGGTCCATGGATGAAAAGCAAAAGCCAGCTGTGTATAGCAGGAATAAATAAAAATGTCATGGGGTCTAGATTAGAGGCATCACTTCTGGCTCAGGAAGGCCGTGAGCTGTAAATTGCTGGCAAGCAGAAGAATATACCAGGAAGGATAGCTGTTTGAATGACCCTTTTGAGTATTATTTCCTAGGCATATATGAGGCATTGTTGGACACAGGATACTGAACAAGGCAGAGCTTTGGTCTGATCCTGCACATCTGGTTTTATGTCTAAGCAATTGGCTTTGCCTGTGCAAAAGATGTTTCTGTGAACTTTTCTTGTGACATGGCCAAGGAGACATTTGAGTCACTAGAGTCATCTCACTACACTGCCTGGTCAGTTCCATCAAGTGCACATTATAGGGGAGTATTGTGAGTTAAAATGTTGACTACACCGTGAACACTTTCTTATAAAGAATGGGATTTATTTGCCTGAGGTGCATGAGAACATGCTACATATTGATATCATGAAGGCAAATTAATGCCAATGCTTATATGAAAGCACTAAATTATTTTGTGATATCTTAAATAGTTATGATGAAATTTCCACACAAAACTAATTGCAGTCTTACAGATCTCTCTCATTTCTAGTATTCTTCAGCTGTTAGCTTCAGACATAATTTGTTTGTGCTGGGTCCTGTAAAGTTGCATGGGGGTTTTCATCTGATCGTTTCATTGGAGCAGCAAATTAAAAGTGTAATCTAACATTCACGTGTTATTATTCACAAGTGACTTAACTTAGTCCTGTCAGTGCAAACTTAAGCACATGATGCACAACACAGCATATTTAACTTATAAGCACAAACAGATCTCTTTAGAATTAAGTCCGTGGATGTCTGAAGAGGTGAATCAGATCTCAAACAGACTACAATGAAGCTCTGTGCATTCCACGAGCAAACCAGAAGTTTCCTTCAGCTCTGAAAACTGTACTTGCAGTACAAAAATCTTCAAAACTTTTTTGTTATGTTGCCTAAATTTTGTGGGTTTGCCAGTAATGTTAGCTGTGTTTGAGGTGAGTGAGAATAGTGTGTGTGTAAACAGTTGCCTTCTCTTTTACTTCTAGATGGTCTCTTCTGTCTTTGAACCATGTTCTTCTTTTTCCCTTAGCTGTAGATCTTCTGGAGAAGATGCTCATACTAGATAGTGATAAAAGAATCAGTGCCTCGGAAGCACTGGCACATCCATACTTTGTACAGTACCACGATCCGGACGATGAACCCGAGGCTGAGCTGTACGACGAGTCAATAGAGAATAAGGAGCGAACCATAGATGAATGGAAAGGTATCAGAATTGCACACAGCAGTTAATACATGCAGCAGAACAAAACCTTACTTAAATACCAGTTTTCATTCATTTCTAACCAGAGGAATTTGAACTCTTAAGCCTCAAGCAAACAAGATAAGTCCATATGTGTGCTTGTGGGAGTGGAGAGGGTTGTGTTTCCTCTCTGGATTTTGCTCCCTTCCCCCACTCAATCATCTCCTCACTAGATTCCCTGTACTGTTTAAGCTTAACTAAAAGCTGGTGCTAGTTACCAGGTAATCACACATTCTGTTTTGCTCTTAGTTTTCTAGGTCAAATCTATAGCTGAAGTAACTGTCCTAGGGCAAGTGACACTATTTGGGATTCTGGTCTAGCTTTGTTCAGAACCAGGAAGTAATATTTGCCACATAGATATTTATTTTGTTAATAATTCTTTAGAGAACGAAAGAATTAGGATTAATAACTAAACCATGCTATTGCTCCTGTTTGATATGAGAGTTGATCATTTTACTTGGGAGTGACACCCCAGAACCCTTCTTTGAGAAATACTGCAGTAACCTTTTATTAGTTAATTCCATGTTTGCATCATGATCATATTGCACTGCAGTATCACGGAAGTAAGGTGGCTAAACATTAGGTTGCAAGTACACTGAAAAGTACAGTCCAATTTCATTACTGTCTAAAGAGGACATATTATGCTAAAAAATCCTTACTAGAGATTTTTAATTGATAGTATGTAGGAAACTAATTGTTTCTGTTTATCAATAAAGGCCTTTCCTTGGTTTAAGATAATTATGTATCCTATCTTCTGCTTTTATTTGTATATTCTATAACTCTGGAAAGGTTGCATGAAAATGTGTTAGCATAGGGGTTAGGTTCATGATGAAGAATACTGATCTCCTATGTCTCACTCATGCCCTTTCACTCATGCCATGTTTTATCCTGGACATTCCAGGGGAGACAAGCAGACTGACTACAGCAGATACATCTGAAAGAAATAGAGTAGCAGGGTCATGGCTCTCTCTACAACAAATCAACCTCCTAGAGCCCTAGAGAGGCTTTTGCAGAAGCCTCCTGTGTCTGTACAAACAAGGAGGATTGACTGGCATCACTTATGCCTTACACATGCTCTGCAAAACCTGGCAGCCAACAGCACTGCCTGTACATCTTGCTTGTTGAGAGGAACAGTCAACACGCTGCTGTAGTACTAAGGAGTCGATGATTATTTTTTTTGCTGCTGCTTTTTCAGTTGACCAAGTCTTTAACAGGAAAGTTTAACAATTTCCGAGTCACGAAGCTGATTTCTGTTTGTGATGCAACTCCCTTGAAATTATTTCAGGAGCAATCTTAGCTTAACGCTTTCTAAACTGAAATGAGGATGTGAAGGTGAATTCTCTAGGAGGGGCAGTATCATATTTTTCTAAGTCACTGTCCTTGCTGGAAGTACAAGTCAAATTCCTTCTTTATACAGAAGGAATAAAAGTATAAAAAGACCCAAGACAAAATTCTCAAAACTGGCACAGGATGTGTAGCACTTCTTCCTTCCTCCTGGCCATACTTTTATCTTGGGGAATAAACTTTTTATTTTCAAGTACAACATGTGCCACATTTAAGTAAGATGACATAAAAGGTGACCATTTGCATAAAATGTTTGCAGTGTTGATGAGATACTGACCCAGTTTCTCAATAAGTCGATGACATATTTCTCCTCTTTTTCTGTTCAAATTAAAAATCCGTGGCACTTAGTCCCCAGGGGGACTGGGCACCAAAGTAAAATGAGATTTCAGGCACTTTGTCTTACGTATTATGCACTTTAGAGTTTCCTTGGCCTCCACTGCACACTGCTCAGGATTGCAGCCCAAGCTCATAGGTTTCTTTCTGACATGTTAAATCAGAAAATATTTCAGCATTTTAGAGGCTATTCAGAGTTGAATGCTATGTACTCTCTCTGTAGCTGTTGCTCCAGTTGCACATATCTCTGTTGAGCAGGTGGCATAAGAAGCAGGTAAGGAGCTTCATAAACATACAGTGCACAGCCAGCAAGAAAAATTTCTAATGCAGTTCCAGGTGTCCAATTTGTGAGAACACTGGCTTCCTTCTAGTTGAGGCAGGACTTCTCTAGCTCCTCCCTGGCTGCCTGTAGCCAGGTGCTACTTAATAACCACAAGTCAGTCACTGAAAGAGTCACCTAAGGAATCCTCCCACCTCTGGGGTTCTCCATACAGAATTTCTTTCAGAGAAATCCTTCACTGACACTGGTGTGCTGGTCACTGTGCACCGTGCTACAGTGTAAAACAGCCACACCATAGGCAAGATTCAGCCTGAAGACTTTTTACATACTTTTTAGAGGAGTTCTGTGTATGCTTTCAGGTGTAGCAGTTGTCTTAGAGCTACTTAATAAACAAGTTAATAGGCATGAGTTTGATAAAATTTAAACATCACTGTTTGGAAAACAGAACCTGAAGTAACGCATTGTTAGCCATATGTTGTATGCAAACAGGATTTTGTCCTTAAAATACAGTGTCTAATCTGAGAAAATATGTAAGAGGTAGCTGCTGGCAACATATTCCATTAATGTCCAAGGCAGAAAACAGGACATGACTGTCAGCATGAAGAGATAAAGCAGGGTAGAGTAGTAGGGAGCACATGATTCTAGCTAAGCTCTTCTTGATAAAAATAAACATATTTCATGTTACATGCTTCTAAGAACAAAGAAAATATTTTTGAGAGGATGTTAAAATCTAGTTACAGTAAAACATGAAAAGAAACCCCAAAACTGAGATCCCAAGGCATTAGCACAGAATTGCAAGTGACTTATGTTGAAGGCAATTGACTGAGAGGTGATAAAGAACATTCTCCACAGTTAAAAGTGTATATTTTAAAACTGATTTGGGTGCTTTTAAAGATTCCATTTTCCATTACATTTTGTCTTTTATTACATCATTTTGGCAAGTCATCTGACAGCATAATTGATGCTTCCATTTCAGGGCCTGTGTGTTTTAGTAATTAGCTGAAGGGACAGACATGTCATATGGTAACAGTATTTGTGAGTATAATTTGCAGTCTGAGGTTAGGAGAAGGATTCCTAGTGAGTTCAGTCTTTTTTTTGGATCTGGACTCTAAAAAGGCTGGAAACACAAACTACAAGTCACATGTATCCATAGAGCTGTTTTGTCTGGAATGTTTGTCTTTTGAAGAGAATATCACCTAATTATTCTATCTCCCTTACACCCTCTCTGCAGAACTTACCTATGGAGAAGTGATTAGCTTTAAACCACCCGACTTAAAAATGGACAGCCTGGAGATTGAACAGTGAATACAGGCAGCTGTGTCTTGCCTTGCTGCACTATGAAGACTGTTAAAATATAACCATACAATTTAACCTGTGGTCAGATGTAGATTTTACTATCCAAAGATGTTGGAGAAGATATGGAAAAGCAGATGCATTAAACAGAAGCCAGATGTTGTCTGGTTTGGGTGGGGTGTTTTTTTTGCCTTGTAATATGAATGTATTCCCAACTCACAAAGGGTGAACTGCTTCATTCTGACAAAATTATGCACTGAGTTCTGTCAAGCTGTGTGTTCTGCATGTTTCATTTTATCAGTTGTATTGCCAAAATAACAGTGACCTTTTAAATTAATTTTTAAATTGTACATTTAAAGCATGAATGTATACAAACATAAACATAGAAGTCCATACAAGCAATCCTTTTTTTTTCTTTTCCTCTGGCATTTTATCTGTCTGTTTTTGTACTATTTATAGTTAGTGCCTTTATGAAGAGAGGGTGTGGTAGTGAGATAGACAGAATATGCATATGTAGTCATATCTGTGGTGGTCTTACGCATTTACTGGATGTCTCTCAAGCAATCTTAACACCAGTTGAAAGTCAGTAAAAATAAACCTTTGTCTTCTCTTGCCATTCAAGTGTCTGTTCTCATTATTTTCCCCATGATTTTTTTTAATCTGTACAATACCCATTTGTAAGACAATTTTACTTCCCAGTGGTACTCCAAACGATGCCATCGCTGGGATGCTGGAGAATTTGCCCAAGTTTACAGGAAGGTGCCTTGAAGGTACTACAGCAGAGCTCTGTAGACTTCTGCAAGCTTCAGCAAAGGCTGTCACAGATCACAGGGCAAGAGTAGTCAGTTCAGATCACAGCTTTCAATTAAGTATTCCACACTGATTTTCCTTCACGTAATCCTTGGGAAAATAATAGTTGCTATTGGAAGACTTGACAAAACAAGGAGATTTAAGAATATGCACAATATCTGTCTCATTGGAGTTTCTTTCTAAGCAAAATTTTAAAGGTTTTCCAGCTCTGAAAAGCTGAGAAATTAAATAATAAATTGCAGGATACACCAGATAATAATTCTTAAATAATTAAATTTATCTGATTTCTCCATTGAAGGCATCATACTGTAACAAGAATATCCTTTTGGCACAAGGCCTCTTGTGGTGTACTGGCTGTGTCTTTGTACATACTTGTAATTCACAGTTGTTCAATGTTGTTCATTTTTGTGTCTCATTCTCACTCTATCAAGAGTCTTATTTTGGAGGTAGCTTTTTATAATATTTAGGTTTTCTGCAACTTTTGTCATTAATAATCAATTGTACAGCTGTTACATGAGTTAATGGATTCTACTGCATTTATTTACCTTCCTCTATATCTTTTCTATGTAAAAAGAAAAGCTTTTTCTTAATAAACAGATTTTAAAAATTCAAAATCAAGTCCAAGAACTTTGATTTTCCAGAAACAGAAATAGGCATTCTGTCTAGAAAATGTACTCCTAGTTTGTGGACTAAGCGACTGTTTTGATAATGTTGGCCAGTTATCCAATACTTGCATCCAGTGGAATACTTGACAGCCACTTGGGTTCAACTTTCTGCAAGGCATATTGATCTGAAAGTAAATGCCTGCATGGATTTCTTGTGAGTCCTCTGAAGTGCCATCTGGCTGTCATTACTTTGACTTCCTATGAAGCTGGACAAGGCCTGTAATGCTCATACAGTGACTGAATTTCATGTGAATAAAGTAGGTGAAAAAGTTGTAAATACTTTAAAATTATTTGTCTGACTACATAACAAAAATAATCACTCATGTCTTAATTTTTTTTATTTGTCTGTTTGCCAGTTAAAAGTATCTCAGTGCTTTATTTTCCCTGTTCTGCAGCTCCTCTCAAGCTGGAAGGGCAAGGATGAAGTAAAGAGATTTCACAAGAGCCTCCTGCATACAAGGATAATTTAGTGTTTAATCTGTTGTTTAATCTGGTTTCCTGGCTATGAGAGTGGCCATTGCCAAATGCTTCAAATGTGTTTTACACATTTGGCCATTGCCAATATGAATGTATTCCCAACATTTGACCATTGCCAGATGTGTAAGACTGTGGTAGGCAAAGATAGATAGTCTGCTCTTGCCATAGTTTTGCTACTTGAGGTAGAAAGTTTTATATCACTTCCAAAATTTGTTCTTCTGGCAACTCTGAGTCTTCCTCTGAGTATTTCCTTTGACATTCAGAGATGCAATTTTTTTCCTAGGAGATAAATTATGTAGGAAGAATGTGGTCATAGCCACGTTTAAACTAATCAAAGGTGACAGTAATGGGTAACAAGAGCTCAGCTATTTTTAATGAATTAGCATCAAACCCTGTAAATCATCTTGTTTTAATGTCAAGAAAAAACAGTAGGGAAACTAACATCTCTTTTCTAGGTGTGCAAAATGAAGGCAATTATTTAGACCTCAAAAACCATTAATTGAAGTATTTTTCTAGAGCAGGTAACCAGCTCCCTTCTGGTAATCCAACATGGGACTTCAATGTGGTAACTTTATCAGTTTACAACAGCAGGAGAGGGTAATTGGAAAGCTGGTACCCCACTGGGACAGAAAGGTGGAAGGCTTAGCTCTAACAATGCTTATCATTTGAACACAGATGGAAGAAAAAGCATTTGTGAGCCAACGCAAACAGGCAAACGGAGGCAAACATCGAGGAGTGAGGACTTTGCCAGGCTTGATGAACCTGTCAGGCAGATGGCTTACAAGTAAATTTTAAAGAGTCAGTAAATACACAAGTAAGGATTTTATTTAATAAAAATTTGTTTGCTAAAAATGTCTTTAAGGCATTGATTACGCGGTCCAAATGTTACTTGCAAAACTTGTCATGGAGCTTGCTTAAACAGTGGGGTTTTAATCTCCTGACACCACCCTTACTCTCATTAACACAATTGTGCTTTTGTAGGTCCTTTATACAGTGCATATACATTTGAGGAGAGCGTCACAGGTTTTAGTCCACATTGAATTAGGGTGCTCATCATCCCTGACCTCCTGCAAAGCACAGAGGGAAAGCTCGGAGGAACAAGACTGGGCAATGCTGGTAAAGGAGGCAGCTCAGGCTTCCACAGGGGAGAACACAGCTCTCCCAGGGCTTTCCGTGGTTAATTACTGACATTGTTAGCAATTTACTTCTAATCTGAATTTACCTAATTTCAGCTTTCAGTCACAAGATCTTGTTATCTCTCCACATACTGAATTGAAATCACTTCTAGTATTTATTAGCTCACTCAATAATCAGTGTTAAGTGCAACCCCAAGTCTAGTAATTTTATAATCACTGGCAGCAAAAGGTCTTGCAAAAGCAAAGTCTTTTGCAGGTATCTCAGTCTTTTGACATGTAAATACATGCTACACTTTTAGAATCTGCATTTTTTTTTAAGCTCTCTACCTCATCAGCACTGAAGCCCAGCAGCAGGAAATTGATATGCCACAGCCAAAGCAGACAAGAATAAAGAAATTTCTAATTTACATTGGGCTAATGGAAAGAAAAACTAACAATGGAAATGCACAGTGTTAGAGGGTTTCTTGCGCCATACTACACAGAATTCCCTTCTCCCTGAAAATACAGATTGGCTACATGAGTATGAAAACAGGTACTAATAACTTTGGGAATTTATAGGGTGGGAAAATAATAGGAAATTAGGTAATCAACACTGATATGTGAAAAAAAATATATCGTGCATCAATAGGTTGAGTCTTTGCATTGTTGCAGAGTTCCCTTAGTGCTCTTGGTGTGTGTTTGATGTGGTTTGAAAGATGAAAGCAAGAGAGAAGGAGGGACAGTATGCTGCAGGGTCCAACACAGCAAGCTCACTCTAGGGTCAGGAAAGGGACAGCCCTTTCAAGGGCAAAATGCTGGCAGCAAAAGCACCTTTGACAGAGGTGGAGAGCAGTCAATACAAGCACCACTTCCTTCCTTTCTTCCTGTCACGTGCACTCCTGGATCATAACGAGAAAACAGACTTGGACCTTCCTGAGACTCAGGACCCAGTCAAAGAGAAATCTGTTCAAAAAGTACCATATTCAGCTGCCAGCAAAAATTACTTAAGTATCCTTTGCTACATCTGTAAATTGCTGACTCGGCCCAAGAATCCCTGACAGATGAGCCGTGGTAAAGATTTACCTCTCGTGAAAAGAGAATTGCTCTGTAAATTGGGTAAATTATGTCCTTTGATAGCAGCAGAAAGGAATTCAACCTTGGCAAGATCAGCCTCCTTAGGAAGGAATTAATAGCAACATCTTTGTTTGCTTTAAAAGCAGCTGCTTGTTTCTCCTACATTAAATCGTGCTGGTAGTGATTATAGATGTAGCTGGTCCTTAGAAAATTAGCACACTTGCACAAGTGAGAATACCAAGTGTCATTAATTTATGAGTCCAGCTAAGGGTTTTTAAGGGACTAGTACCAAGAGACTTAGAAAGCTGCATTAGTGTCCCTGCCACTGCCCTTCTTTCTGCTGTAAGATAAAATATTGAACTGCTATGCCTAAAAGGGTCTAAGTTTTCACTACAAGGAAGGAATATATTGTGAGTTTCCTATGTGAACAGTGATCTTCCAACCAATCTGACACTTAATCCATTGGACAGGAAATTTCTACATAATGAGCAAGTCTCTTCAATTAGGCTTTGACCTTGCATGCATACAAATGCTTCATTTTGCACTCACATAGTCTCCCAGCTCAAATTATTGTCACAAATTAAGATGTGTACCATAACACAGGGGTTTAAGCTAGTCCTTTTAGGTTCCAATTTGATGGCAAGTAATATTGAATGTGGTAGAAATACTGAATCATAGTGGCAGCCCTGAGACAACCGTACATTAAATCTGCCATAAGTGGCAGCCTCCATGAGCCATACTTTCCTCCTTATAGAATAATATCCTCTAGATTAGCACTCAGATAATATAGTCCTATTTTTTACTCCTTTTATATTTGAGCTCAAGTCAAGAAGCCATGGTTACATTACATCCTGTGCAAAAATAACACACAGTACTCCAGTCCTGTCCAGCTTTCTCATTAGGCTGAGAAGGAAACACAACGAATGAATGCAATATTGAGAAGGATGGATGGGATGGGGTAAGAATACCACCAAGATTTTGGTGAGTTAAACAGGATGTGCACAACTATGCAGTGACAAATGAGTAAAGCTATCAACCAGTGATAGCCATTAACACTCTTCTCATATGACTTTTGCACTGAGGCTGGGAAACTCTATAGTATTTTTTCTTCCGTGGACTAAGGCATCTCAGACTTCAACAATCTCTGGTAGTTTAATAACTAAACTCCTTCAGTATATTGTAGGAGAGGACCTTTAGGCAGATTCTAAGGAGAAAGAGTTAGGAGAGTGTTAAAAGCAGTCGGTTTATACATAGCTGTCTGTTGCCCTCTTCA